CTTGGAGCAGATAGCAGGGAAGGGGCCAGGACCAACAACGATTGGACTTTCCCTCCCCAGACTATATGTTTGTCTTTCCTGGTATTTGTCTTGTTTTGATTACGCATTCTTTAGGGCCTTGCATAGAGGCATTCAAAAGTCCTTGGTGACCAGGTTTTACAACATTTCTTAATGAAACACGAGACCATCCTTCAAGTGCTTTTCAATAGGTTCAACTTTATTCAAGAATTAGGTCAAATAATCTGAACAGTTGCTTACAGGCATGAAAAAGAAAACCAAACAGTGCTGCCTGTCAAGCGCACATCTCTGCCCTGAACTCAGTGCACGCTCAGAACAGGTATTGCATTAGTTTGACCCCACTCGCCCAAGTCTGTATAGATAGATGCTTCAGTCGGGCTTTTTGGCACTTTTATCTAAAGCTGATTGAATCGGCTTTAGATAAAAGCCCCAAAAAGCCCCGTTGAATCACTGGGTCTAAAGAAATGCTGAGGATACAGGTCAAACTAACATGCTTCCTCATCTGGTAAAGTGCTGTTTTGGTTTTATTTTTCAAGTCTGTGAGCAGCCAACATGTTTTTCTCTCTCTAAATGGCTTTCTTGCCTTTTTTGCATTTTATGGGATGCTAAGGACTTAATTTGAGCCATCTACAATTATGTAAACTTCTGTGAATCAGCTGAATGTGAATGCACCTGAAGTGCACAGAACATAATTGACTTGGATTGTGCATGTACAAAATCGCAGCACACGAGCACTTGTGCATTACTTATTTTTTAATTTATTGCCACAATGGATGGTTTTTGTATCAGCGGAAATGTCATCTCGTTTTCTCAATTCTCCTTTCATTTTCCTCTGTCAAGACAATAGCTTTACTTCGTTTTCATTCGTATAATATTCTTTGTTTCACAGGAAGAGATATTTTATGACAATTATCAGTCTTGCTAAAAAGAAATGCAGTTTTAAGAAATGATAACTTTTCAAAATTTCCTCATTCCAGGAGTAATATTTGGTCTGGACCTAGATTGTTGAAGCAAAACTCAAATCACAGTCTTTATGATTAGAATATGACCATTGTACCATTTACACCAAGTACCTTGCAAACAGATTTTCTACTCCTCAGTGGACCCTGACCTACAGATGAATACTGCGAAATGATCAGAATATGGCCCTTAATTTCTTCCACACAGTGAGCACTTCATTTTCATTTACTAGCAGCTTTCTATCACAGATTTCAAGTCCATGCGTTTTATTTCTGACATCTCACTGGGCAAGTTTATATGAGATGCTTAATGCACAGTAGACGAATTCTACTGCACATTAGCGTGTCATGGCAAAAACTGTGCTAATGCGCAATAGATTTAGTCTACTGCACATTAAGTGTCACAGAAAGACCATGCACTGTTGCTACTGCACATTAGCACTGGCTACTGCACATTTATATAATACCTTATATCAGATAAGGTATTGTATATCATATATAAGTATGTAATACCTTATAATACTTATATTAGTATTATATAATACTTTAATTACTAAACGTAATGCGCAGTAGCAACGATGCATTAATGTATGTATAGGTGCTCCCACTCCTGTAAAATGCTTGTATATATACCTCAGAAAACAAACCAAAAGCCCCCCTAAATTTCCTACTAGCTGAAGTTGGAATAAAGTTGGAAGAAAGTGTTGGAACTGGTCCAATTTTAAAATAAGGTTGTGATTTTTTTTTTTTTTTAATTGTACTGACTAAATGGCACTTTTGTTTGCCTGCTTTGAACTTGAAAACAGGGAAAGACCCGCCCTTCTGAAATCAATGGCAGAACACCCACTCCACCTGTTAGGCTTCATTTGGGCCGGGGTTGTACCCATCATTCTAACGTGTAGTCAGAGTTCAACAAGGACAAATGCAAGGTGCTGCACCTAGGGAGAGGGAATCACCAGCACACCTATAGAGTTTTTTTTAATCCATCATAACCTGTCCTACCAGTCCACTTGAGCTTTGTTGGATTTGGACATACTGTCTTTGTGTCATGTGATGGTTTACCAATATCCGAAAAAATCTGTGCTCAGCTTGCTAGATCCAAAAGCCCCAGCTGCGATAGTCTTTGCTTTTCCATAGCAGTCATTGCTTTGGTGACTGAGCATTGAACCATACAGATTTGTGTGTTGCTGTCCATGATGGAGGACTGCACTCTTTCCCTTTCCAGGTTATAGGAAGGTGCTTGGTAGGGATTGTTTTGAATTATTCTGTGTTTTCTGTTGATTAGAATAAGAAAGCCTCATGCTTTGGCTTTGCCTAGCATCGTCTGCTCATTGTCAGCAGAACACCTTCAGCACAGTGAAAATGGAAACAGTTTGAGTAATGCAAAATAAAGCGTAACAGTCAAATAGCTGGACAATGTAAGGGATCCTATATTGAGTGGGTTAAGAGAACACCCCAGGGGTTGTGGGGAGTGCCCATGGGTCGGTCCTCAGGCCGCTTTTGTTTAATATCTTCAATAACAGTCTGGGAGATGGAATGGATTTCACCCTCAGCAAGTTTGCGAATGACACCAAGCTGCGGGGTGTAGTAGATATACTGGAGGGTAAGGATAGGATTCAGTGAGACCTAGATGAGTTGGGGGAAACATTTTGGGCCAAAAGACATCTCAAGAGGTTCAGCAAGGACAAATGCATAGTCTTGCACTGAGGACAGAACAATCTCATGCATCGGTACAGTCTGGAGACCAAGTGGCTAAGCAGCAGCTCTGCAGAAAAGGAGCTGGGGGGTACAGTGGACAATAAGATGAATATGAGCCAACAGTGTGCCCTTGTTGCCAAGAGGGCTAGCAGCATACTAGGCTGCATTAGTAGCAGCATTGCCAGCATATTGAGGGAAATAATTATTCTGCTCTGTTCTGCACTGGTGATGCCACATCTGCAGTACTGTGTCCAGCTTTGGGCCCACACTGTAGAAAGGATGTGGACAAGCTGGAGAGAGTCCAGTGGAGAGCAACAAAAATGATTCAGGGGCTGGGGCACATGACTTTTGAAGAGAGGCTGAGGGAACTGGGCTTATTTAGTCTGGCGAAGAGAAGACTGAGAGAGGATTGAATAGCAGCCCTTAACTGCCTGCAGGATGCTTCCGAAGAGGATGGAGCTGAACTGTTCTCAGTGGCAGCAGATGATAGAATAAGGAGCAACAGTCTCAAGCTGCAGTCAGGGAGGTTTAGATTGGATATTAGGAAGAGCTTTCTCAGTAGGAGGGAATCTCATCTGGACACTTCATGGAAACTGTGAACACCTGCTTCATAAATGGAGAATCAAAGAGATGCTGGGTTGCGACTGTGGTGCGATTTTCCAGATGGTACAACACATCGTGAACTATTGCCCAGTTAGACCATTTAATGGCGATCTAAAATCAATCCATGAAGCTACCCCTGAAGCAGTTGAATGGTTATCAAATTTAGACATTAATCTATGAATGTTGCAATCCTAAAATGGTATATATATGAAGGAAGAACTAGGAGGGTGCTGATGGACTGGAACAGGTTACCTATAGAGGTAGTATAATCTGCATCCTTAGAGATTTTTAAGGCCTGGCTTGACAAAGCCCTGGCTAGAATGATCTAGTTGGGGCTGCTCCTGCTTTGAGCAGGGGGTTGGGCTAGATGGCCTCCTGAGGTCCTTTCCAACCCTCATTTTCTGTGATTCTGTGAATAAGCCCAGCGTCTTTGTGGATGTGTCCCCATTGGCATTGCCCAAATGAAGTCAGTTGTATACCAGCTGAAGATTCCTGGACTAACAATAAATCTTACAACATCTCTCCCAAATATCTTTCTAAACAAATCCAGGTTCCTAGATTTGTCTAACAGTAATTTTTCCTTACATTTACAGTATCATTAGTATTTGATTATCATGGTATGAATAACCTTAATTTTCATATATTTGGAAGTGCAGGTAATGAGCAGAACCACTAAAGATGATGGTTCAGAAACTCTTTCAAGAGATATTAACCAAGGACGTTAGAGGGTAAGGAAACACCAACAATGTAATGTCTTAGCAAGTTAGGGGGAACCCTGCTTTTCCCCTTGTGTTGGATGATGATATTGACCTTCCCCTCCATAATGTACTGTTTGTTAGCAGAAGTGCAATGATGAGTATGAATATCATGGATTTCTCTGATGTGGTTGTGTGAGATCTCTGCAGCCAAGTTAATGTACTTGTAAGGCTCAAATCTATAAGGACGGTATGGTCTATTAAAATTGGTTCAAATGGCTGTACCACACGGGCTACTTTTAATAGCTTTAATGAGCTGAGTGAGTAATTTCTAATGACTGATTTATGTGCTGAATTTCACCTTTTTATGTTCATGAAAAAGTTCTCAAGTCCTTTCAGCCTAGTCTCCATTCAAAATGATGATCTGAATAGCGTCTGTAAAGGATTTCTGATCTGTAAATTGTGCGGTGCAGTGGGATAATGGCTATGTGAAATCCGACAAGTTTTGGTCGGACAAACGGGCAGGTGCACTTCCCCACTGGAGGCCTGTAACTTCGGACTTGAGCTGTGGTTTGGGATTAACCACGTTATGAATTCCAGATACTATTCAACAGAATCGGTAATGATTTTGCAGTTTCAACAAATATTTCCTCCATTTGGCTCATTTCTCAAGGAAAAGTATAAATAGACATGAATGTAGTCAAAGCTCATGAATGTAAATGCTAATTATATTCCTGGACACTTTATTTGCCTGATCTTATTGTAACCCAAAACAAAGTCCCAGTTGCAAGGTAGCTCCTCCATAGAGACTCTTTAGGCAATGAAAGCAGATACATTTGCCATATGGAAATGCTATTTTTTGCTGCACAAAACACTGCTGAAACTACTGAGGATTCCTTTTAACTATATTTTTAGAATATGAGGCTGATTGTTCCTGCACCCCTGAACCTGGGGCTGTTGGCCTTTTGCTGTGGGTTCAGTACAGCTCATGCTGAACCCATTGCCACAGGGTGTTGATGGAGCCAGCAGCTCAGTGGGCTATGAAGAGACACTGGGTGCTTATATCTATAACAAGAATATACAAATACATTTCAGTTAAAAAAAACAAAATAAAACAAAAAACAAAGTCTGGGCAGAGGTCTAAAATCTAGCTCTTACAGGTTTATATCAGTTTCCAGCTATAAAAGTTAGGAGATACCTTGCGGGGATGTACTAGGCCACATATGGCACACTTAGTCCTGAGCATCTAATATTGGCATCTGTTGAAGACAGGATCCCCAGTGGACCACAGAAACTTCTGCGTTACTCTGCAGAAAGAGGAATCAAGTACATTTTAAAGACTGAAATTGTGCCACATAAAACTAAAGTCTACAAGTCTCCATGAGCTGTGGCAGTCTTGCCCAGTGGTATTTGCAAGCCATTTGTGTTCATAGTTATTTTGGATTCTTCTTTAGCTCAAACACCTGCTATTATAGTCACTTGTCTTCAGTTCCTATCCCAATAAGAGCATCTCTCAGCAGTAAAATAAGCTTGTTGAAGGAGTTGTTATGATACTATTAGAAGACTCTGAGGTGGCCAAAAACGTGTTTCCAGAAGGATGCTTGTCACACTGCTGAAAACCTCCTCTTCAGGGCTGGACTCATGCTTTAGGAAGTGTAGTCACCTTGGAGATTGATTTAAAATAGAAACCAGAAGACAGGGATATGAAGGCAGGTTTCTATCAGCGTGTATGCTGTTTCATTCTGGACTCCCCAGAAGCTGTAATGCATTAGATATTACCCACTCGTGGAGACATTAGACCCAAATTCAATGGATGATGGTGCTGGCCTCAGTGCTAGGGTTGTATCTGAAGGTCTTCTATGGGGGAATTGAAAATCACTACTAATTTTAAAGAATTGCTCTTTGGTTAAGGAGATGTTAGCTTTCTTGCTCTCTCTCTTCATCCCCCTTCATTTAAACAGGTGAATATATTGGAACATTTCTCTTTGATGGCCAAGGGACTTTATCTGTACAATTGTATTAATTTTGATTATGGGGAACTTTTTGAAATGCGTGTTTGAAGCTCTTAAAAAACCAATTAAACTTTTGCAGTTAAATAAATAACGCCCGTTCTGGAGTCGCTCTGCAGTATTTAAATCTGCAGTCTTGGAGAATTTAGTGCTAATTAAATGGTATTTTCAGCAGAGCTGGTGACAGCTTGGATGAGTAAATATTGTAGGTTGCAGCTGGAAGAGCACCCTGCAAATTTCCAGGTCTCTCTGTTGGGGAGCATCTGAGTGCATAGCTGTTTTATTTGCAGGCTTTTCGGTAATGGTGAGTGCAAGAGTACTTAATATCTGGTGAATCATTGTGTTGTTTCCTTTTGATTATTTTCAGAGTTATTTATGGCTATGGAGAAGGAGTTCTAATGGCGGTGGAGTTAATAGTAAGGTCTGTATTTTAAGTATCTTGAAATAGGAACCTGGAGCCTAAGTGCTGTATATCATTCATATACATCAAAATGAATGCATTTTTCCCCCTTATCTAATACTAGCCCCATTCTTCTGTAAGGTATTGACCTTAAAACCTAGTAAAAGAATATGATGCTGGCTT